CAATCTGTTCACTCTCCGGTGAACCATGCGCACTTCCTCCTGATCCCTCCATCGCTTCTTTTCAAAGATCAAGCGACGTCTACTCGGCTGCAATGAAATTCTCAACTGCCTCCTTCGTCCAGCCGTCGCTCAACCAATTGGCGTATGGATACGCAGATCCGCTGTTCAAGCTCCTCTTCCGTGAAAGCTTAATGTGAATCCCTGTTGCCCTGTCGGTGGCCAAAGTGGCTTCCAACTCAGCTAGAATATCAGCGTTGTCGTCGATCAAACAACAAGACAAGTGATCCCCCAACCGTTCGGCAAATCTCGAGATAACTGCAGCCTTCCCTGTCGGACCGTCCGGCTCGAACGTACAAATGATCCCGTCAAACAAGTGATGAATCCCTTCGCTGTTGCTCCAAATGTCCTTGCACGCTTGATAGCGCCCCGAACTCCCAATGAAAGAAAGAACGAAAACAAATGGAATACGCTCGTGATCCAATGCAAACTGTCTGAACTTCTCGACCGCCTCAATGTTCTCAACTCTCACGCGACCTGTCTGTCTGCAAGTATCGCTGTGATCCCTGTCAAGAACCTGATGGTGATCAACAAAAAGGACCTTAACCTGGCCAATGTCTGCAACTGCTCCCAAATGCACTTCCTGTGACTCCCAACGAGTATAGCGACTCTCCGCTGCCTCAAAGGTAAGGAAATGTACCGTGTCCGGCAGAACAATCGAGACTTGAACTGGCTCTGGCCTCCGCGGCGGTGCCTTTGCAAATGCCTTTGGCGTAAGGCCAATCACAGCAGGCGGTACCGGAACAGCGGGCTCAGGCCTAGGTGGCAGTGCCGAAGCAGCTAACCTATGCGCCTCCTCGAATCGAGCTCTGTACGTTTGAAGAACCTCCTCAACAATCGTCACCCGACTCTGTGCGCAAAAGTTAAAAGACGTAACACCGTTCAGCAAATGCGGATGTGTCAACGCAAAATGCCCCTCAGCCACGCCCTGGCGAATGAACGCCCTCTTCTGTGCTCTGCCGCTCTTTCCCGAGCGAGGGAACCTCAGAAGCTTGTGGAGCTCCTCGTACTCGGGATGCTCCGGATCGGAATAACCCCCTTCAGGCGGTGGCGGACCAGCGGGTTCAGTCGGACGACGTGAACCAGAGGAAGATGCGATGGCTGCAACGACGGCCAACAACCGATCGCAAAGCGATACGGCTGATAACCAAAAGAACACAGCAGCCGCCCCTTTTTCCCACAATCTTGAGCCAAACATGTCCGGTGAAGTGAAACGTCAATGACTGGATCATGTGGTGGCTACATTCATTAAGATTCCTATGACTTGCATGTCAAGTGATACACAGTACTTGGTGACACATCGAATGCAAAGCTTGCCTGCAGAGATGCTCTTTGGTTGTTCATGGACTGCTTCAAGGACTGCTTCCCCTGGCGTGCCAGATGCATCGACCAGGGTGCTTTGCTAGTGGATTAGGGGTGGTGGTTTCACCCCATGTCTCTCTCCTTATATACACCTTAAACGTCCGTCTCTTTTTCAGGAGTAAACGCATCAAGGCACGGCGCCAGGAGCCAGCCTGTTCATGATGCCACTGGCGCACATCACTGGAGTTGTCTGGAGTCGGTCGTGAACTCGGAGGCAAAATCCGAGGTTCCATGACCTCGATGACCAAGTCACAGGTAGTGCGAGAGTAGGCACGGATGAGCGAGAAGTTGAGGATCTACTTGCGCTGGTCAAATTCTCTTCTCGATCTTTTTGCTCTAAACTCTTCAATCTTCGAAGCCCAAGTGGTGGAGTTCTTGTTGATACGAATGGTGCGTAGCTTGGTTGTACCGACTTCGACAAAGTCTTTGAGCTTCACAGTACGTTCTTCTTCTCAGCAGCATGCGCCTCCGCCGCACAAAGCCAAGCCCACAAGCGCCGCAAGGCCTTGTAGCCCACTCCCAAAACTTTAGCAATTGCAAAAGCATTGCAGGCCGAGGTTGCGAGGCCGTTTTAGAGCATCATTCAAGCGCCGAGCATAACACCTCTGCCGATTGCAGGTGGAAAGACAGATCCCAAGGACAAGGCAGCCACGGCTTTGCAACAATCATTGTCCGAACATCGGTTTGCACGCCGGACAGTGTCCAGGTTTCTGCAGCAGCTTCAAGTCCTGTAGCTCCTCATTTGAAATCTGCTTTGACCTCCTCTGCAGTGACTTTGGCACTTTGTGACTTTTTGCTTTCTTTGCTTTTCTAGCTTTCTGTTTCTCTTCAACTTCGTCTTCCCCGTGTGTATTGCTCAGCAACAACATTCTTGCATTGCCGCTTCATGCGGCCAAAGATGACTCTGCACTTTTTGCGGTCAGTGTCTTTTGGCTCCATGGCCGAAAACTTCCTTTTCAATGACTTCAACTGCACAAATTCTTTGGCCCCTGGCAGTTTGCATCCCCTCACATTGTGGCCAGTCTCACCACAAAGGGAGCAAACATGGGTCTGCGAGGTTGGCCGAGCCAATGGTGTGGCGTGTAGAGATCGCGCTTCGCGCTAAATCAGCACAGACGGACATGTAAGGGAAAGTGAGCCTGGGTATAGCCGAAGTGCTTGGACACCGGCCAAAGAAACGCTTCTTTCTGCTGTGGATTTTAAAAAATGAAGGGCAGTCACATCGACTCCGGCAATTCACAAAAATCATGTCTCTTCTTCCTTGTCCAAACAATCTTTCCTCTTTCTCTCTGTGTAAAAACAGAGAGGGGAAGGGAGCATAACATCATATAAAGGACTATGCGAAAGAGTGTGACAGTATTAATATGGATGAGATATTCATTTACCAATTGTATATTATGACCAGAAGGAAAAATCAGTATCTGCCCATTCTCTTTTCCGGTTTTTTCAGTTGCAAAAGGCTATGCGCTGCTTTCGTTCCAGACAGACTGCACTGTCTAGATACCCTACTTCTACACATCTGGTTCATTCAGATCTTGTGCCCCTGCAACGCTGACCAGTGCCTGAGACATAGACGCTCTGGCCCACCGGCAATGGATCGAGCCAGCAGCTCGTCAGTACTGTTCTCGTCTCCACCCCAAGCCATCTGCGTACCGCATGAACACACGATGCGACAGAACCAGTATAAAGCAGCAGAGGCAGAGGGCACTGGATACCGACGCCGACGCTGGTGCCTCAACTGAGCCTCCTTCAAAACCACGAAGCCATCTGCAGATTTTCATGAGAGCTTGGAGTCGTGTGAGGCACCACAGATTGAGTGGCGGAGAGACAGGCATCACCACAAGCAGGCGATGTCAAAACCTGAGATTAACAGAGAAACCAAACAGGAATCCCCCCACACCGGACCAAAGGAAACCGAAACACAAAAGCGTGACTTTCGTCTGCACAATTTTCACATGACCGGGGTATTTTTGCTCTATCATTCACCCAAGTTTTATAATATATACAGACTTGTAACAATATATGTATACCATAGTCTCTTAAGTATACACTCGTCTCTGCGTGTCTCCATCACCGCGTTGGTCAAAACTGGTTTGACAGAAATGCCATCCATTCATCCGACCCCAGACACTGCGCGAAGCTCATCTAAAAACGCCAAAGAACGCCGACGCCACTCTGAAAGTACTGAGGCAGTGACACGCGATCAACCCGCAGCCAGATCAGCCAAGTCAAGGCCAGAAGCTGAGGATCAGTGATCATGGATTGACTTCAAAGTTCGAAAGCTGTACTGTAATAAGCTTATCTGTAAGACAGTGCCATGATATGACTGGCAACGGTTAATGTTACGAATTGTCAATAGCGACTGCAAGCATGTTTACGCCCCAAAAAAGCGGGGCGTCCCCCACCCTGGAGGTCCAAGGTCGTTCAAGCAACCGTAAAGCGAAACGTCCGGAAATATCAGGACCTAGAAACATCAAGAACGTAGCATCAAGCGTGTTTGCAAGTACAAGCTGTTTGCAAGTACAAGTGACATCAACAGAACCCCACCCCACCTGCAACCCACCTATGACGTAGCATCAAGTATGTTTGCGCGTGCAAGTGACGTCAATATAATCCCACCCCATCTATAGCATAGCGTCAACTGCGTTTGCAAGTACAAGCGGAATCAAAAGAACCCCACCCCATCTACAACGTAGCATCAAGTATATGTTTGCAAGTACAAGTGACGTCAATAGAGCCCCACCTCATCTATGACGAAGCATCAAGTGTGTTTGCAAGTACAACCGACGTCAATAGAACACCACCCCACCCCCACCCCACCAATGACGTAGCATCACGTATGTTTGCAGGAAAAAGTGACGTCAATAAAACCCCACCCCACCCACATCTATGACGTAGCGTAGTCAAGTATGTTTGAAAGTACAAGTGACATCAGCACTCACCGCATCCACTACCTGCGGATGACACGTCTTTGAAGACAGTCTGCGACGCCCTTGTGGGGCGGTACCCAAAAACAACCCTAACTGCCCACCTCTGAGTATGGAACTCATGTCGGAGACCCCTAAGTACGGTTTGTATTTGTTTTAAATTGACGCCCTTTAAAGCCGCTACTAAACTGCCAATGGTCGATTTGAGAATAGTTATTTTAAGGTTCCCAAAAGCAACCCTAACTTCCCACCTCTGTCCACCCTGTCTATCCACCATGACACGCCGCGTTTACACCAGCAGGCTTTCCTTGCCCCAATGGCACAGACTCACCTTTCGAAAGCTTTAGTTGTTAGTCTGATGCAGAATCACTATTTTGATAAAGGTTTTTGTAAGGGGAAAAGGACGACCCTTCGATCTGGAGGCGTTTTCAATGTTTGATTCGCGTTTAATCGAGGATTATAAACAAGTATACTGGTTGACTTTTTGGTTAATCAATGATTCAAGGATCCTCCCACTGACCCTATTTTGGACAACCCCGATTTCATGGACCCACTATTAAAATAAATGCACACAAGTTGTTTTTTTTAAATAGGGAGGGCATGGGGGGGCAGTGTTTTTAATAGGTGGACGGGATTTGTCGGACTCGTGGTCGCCTCCGAGATCTTCTTCTTTCCCTTGTTGCCCATGAAGTCCAGCGAGAGCCACTCTAGCACGTGGGCACAAGACCTCAGGCCTTGGGCCAAAGCATAGACTCCTGGCTGCAATCATCTGGGGTTGTTCTGGGCCACTATGGGTGTCTGTGGAGCACCTTGAAAGAGCTTTGCTGGCACTATAGCAGCATGCAATGTAGGGGAGCTTGGCATGAATCACGCCCTAATCTTCTCATCATGGATATCTCTGTGCCATGCCATGAGCTAAGGGATAGTCCAACGAGTGGAAGCCCGTCCTTCGTCTGAAATGTCGGGCCCTGAGGAGAGTCGGATTTCCAATCCTCAGCAACTCGGGATCAGATTATCTGAAGAGCCTTGTGGGTATTAGCAGTTGAAGCTGGATGTACAGCCGACTCCGGTAAAGCAGCTTCAGCAGCTACAGCTACTTGTGTGACTCAAGGTAGCTCGATTCTAGCATAATCAAGCAAAAGCGCACCACTGCCCCTTTGTTGGGCCTGGCCACCTGCCCCTTGGAAGTTCATCGTGCCTAGTCTTCACCAAGTCGCGCTTCAACTTCTTCAGCCGATGCAAAGCACCACCCAAGGCCACAGCCGACATGTCCGTCAGTTTCCTCCGCACACTGCGGCTGATTGGGTGCGAATAAAAAATAACAATAGTCAGAACCAGCACCGTATGTGGAACAAGCGCTTCCTGCAGCTCTGAAATCCCAAGAAGAGATCCGTGAGTGTCTCTGGGAGGTTCTCCGCCAAAATCACCTCAGCTGTATAAGGACCACCGGGCTATAAAGGCATACCATACAGTAACAGAAACAGCACCAAGTGCACATCTTTGCACCAAAATATTGCGGAGCAACAGGTGACACTTCAAGTGATTGTGTGCTGTCCAAGTCGAGCCCTATGAAGTCTGATGGAGAAGAAGATGGTAGTCATCCCCATCATCTTTGAAAACTCCGCCGAAGGTCACACCTTGCTAGAGTCAATCCTTCCAACCCCTACATGTGTCAAAGAACGACACCGTCAGCTGAAGCAAAGGGTCCTCGGAAGTTTAGAAAACCGTGTGTTGTGTTTCTTCCCTGGTATGACTGACTAAAACACCATCTCACCAGCTGCGTCTGACCTGCCGGCAGGTGGCTACGGCCTTGTCCATCAGCTTCTCCAGGCAATCCCCACCTGACGGACTCAGGATACGCTTTCCTTCATGAAGGGTCAATGAGTGCCAACAATGAGTGCCAAACCCCTACAGTTGAATCAGCGTGGATTAAACCAAGTCCTGGAGTCTGGAGGAAATGGAATCAAAAAAGATCCAAGAGGCCCAACGCTAATGTCGAATCCCTGTGAGGAAATGCATATATATATATATATACTGTTTGGTCCATTGATTGGGAAAGTACCTAAGTACCTAAGTTTACATGTCTATTGTTCTGCTATTGCTGCCCTTTAAAATCCTTGCTTAACCTCTTCCGAGGTTTGCGTGATTGATGTAACTCTCACCTGAAAACTGATGAAAAAAACCTTATTGAACCTCATCGCAATCATTGTTCGTTCCAAACAATTTTAGACAATTTTCAAGGGGGTAGTACATAAGCCCACGGGAAGTGAGTAAAACGAATTGTTTAGGGAGATGATGCGCCAACTTCGAGCCCTAGAAAGAAATATCCTAGCTAACTTTTCTATTGTGATCATTGCCAAATGCCTGCTTGTCTTTCTGCTGCTGCTACTACTACTACGACTACGACTACCACTACCACTACTGTACCACTACCACTACTACTACGACTACTACTCCTACTACTACCACTAATAATAATAGTAATGCTACTCCTACTCCTACTGCTGCTGCTGCTGCTGCTGCTGCTACTGCTACTGCTACTGCTACTGCTACTGCTGCTGCTACCACCACTAATACTACCAGTTACCACCACCACTACGACTACTATAACAATTCCATATAGTTATATAATTCCTATTAAATATATAGTTTGTGGTGGGTTGACTCTATTCAGTCTCCCTCAATTGTTGGCTAGGGAGAGTTACTATTTAAGATCGGACATTACTCTGCCAGACTGGATTCTCGTGTCTAGGCCCTAGGCCTGTGTGTACTTACCGATCGAACCACGCCATGCTGCGTCCAACCGTCCCTCAGGTCCATCCGCACCGAAGTGGATGGTGAGCGACTCCAGCAAGGAAAAGGATAAAGCTTCCGCGTGCCGCGCCAGGTCAACGCCAGGCGTTGCAGAGGCTTTCGCAAAGGAAGCAGCCGAGAAGCGACCATGAAGCACATTGTTCAGAAGATTGTAGCCTGGCGGAAAGCGCAAGGAGGATCAAGCAAAGCTGCAACAAAAGGGAGATTGCGGTGTTCTTTTCGTCTTTGTTGCCCGGAGGGCAGGACGCTAGTGCATCAAGCAAGTAGCTAGTTACGTGCAAGGACGGAGTCAAGCGCAGGTTCTTCATGCGGCAAGCTGTTGCCTTCAGTGACGTAAAGGTAGAATCTTGGCTTCAAAGGTAGTGTACTTGTTTAATTGTCATCTGTTTCTTATTGCTGATTATATTGCTATTTTTTTACCTTCGTCTTCTCCTTCTCCTTATCCTTCTTCAATAATACCATGACACCCGTTGGTGTCATCAGCGCACAAGGGCCTGAGATAAACATAGCACGGGCAGGTATCAACAAATGCAGAAATCTAGAGTCAAAATCACTTAAGCAGTACCAGGTTGAAGCATCAAATGTCAGAAAAGTCCAAGAATAAGATTGCTCAGCTGGATGCATGAAAAGCCAGTAAATCCCTAAAAGCATGAATGGCATGAAGCTTGTCAAATGTTCACGATGGCACCACATTGCCATCGTCCATGCAGTGCAGTGCTATCTGCAGCGCCTTCGTGCACTTCAGCGGGAGGAAGTGTCAATTCCTCCAGCCCTGCAATGGAGTTCAAGATCATGCGCCGATCCTCTTCCTGCAGGGAGTTCTCCGTGTCACTTTCAAACTTTGCTCTTCTGCCCTTGGAATGGTGAAATCAGCCCTTGCAATGTTTGTAGGTGGCTGTGAGCACAATGAGTTCAGTTGTGGTTCTTGGAAAAGCGAGCAAGCTTCAATTCAACCCTTCAGCCTTTCAACTCCCCCTGTGTAAGCCCACCATCCTGACTTGCAAAAGCCTTCTCCACCCTGATATCCTCAGTGCTGCTCCGTCGTTTCCGACGTCTACAATCACACAAACAATCAAACACATGTGGATTCTTGGCTCCTTTCATCTTTCATCATCCAACTTAGCGAAAGGGATTGTGTGAAAATCCTGGATCCTTTAGAGGCTTTTGTGCTAAAGCAGAAAGCACTAGGTTTTCTTCTGGACACGGCGATAGTGCTGATCTTTTTGGATGGAATAAAGTCCGTTCTAACGCACGCAGTGATACAAGGCATCTTCTTTGTCCATTGGCGACTCTAGTGGTTCCTCGATGGCCTACAGGGTTGTACTTGTACCTGTACCATTGAGCTAGTTTACAGGGACAATCTCCCTGCAACAACTATCGGACATGAGTTCTGACCCCAACAAGCATATGGTCAAACAACTGCCAAAAGCTGTCCCTGTGTCACAGTGGAGCCAACATACACAAACAATCCCTGGGTGTCAAAATGTGTTGAGGCTCCCTCAAAAACTGCTGACTGCATTTTCTGGGCAAACCAACTGGCATGAAATGTATGTATCACACATCACACATCATGCAGCCTCACCGTTGCAACATCCTCCTAAAGTAAGGGTGTGCGTGTGTGAGCATTGGCAATGCCTTGGACATGTTGGTCATGTTGGTGGTTTAGATCAAAATCCAACCAGGCCAGACTTTAGCTAGTGATGGGCAAAAGTTCCTGAACAATGGTGCAAAGAAGTGCAGCATACCAACATACTCAAAGGGAGTGGGAGAGACTGGAAGCTCGTCCAAGCATGGCTTCCGCTTGACCTAGCCTCAAGCAATGCAAATAGTCCCCCCCACCAGCCCCATCTCGTGCAGCGAGGTGTCCAAGGCCTTCTGTATCCTCAGTTGCTTGCAGGCTTGCAAACAAAGAGTACACATACCTACCATAACTTACTTGTTTATCTTTATCTAATGTAGGGAAGCTTGGGGAGAATCAATCTACACCAACTTGACCATGCCAAAAGGGCCGAGTTCAGCTTTGTGGGACCCTTGATTTATTCAATAGTACAAATCTTGTCTTTGTCAGACAAGCGTGAGCTGCAGCATGTACATTCAAGGCATGTGCAACCTGCTCGCCTTCCACCAAATGTACATCATCCCCAGCATTGATGAGAAGGCCCCACAGGCCCTGCCTGAGCCCCCCGCTGTGGTTCTGTTCCAGCATTTATGATGGATCTGCGTATTTGTGCGAATTGTCAACCCCCTCTGAGACATGTTCTTTTCTGAAGGTAAAGTGCCTATACCTGCATGGTTGCCTATTCTGGGGATTTCGCAGAGTCAGAATTTGTGGGAAGGGTGGCTTCGCACAACACCAGAGGCTTTGCGAATTGGTTGGTTTTGCAACATGTCATACACTCTAAGTTGGCATTCGCAAATTGGCTTCGCCTCTGTGAAATCTACAGTAACAGCCTACGCCAGAGGCTTAGCGAGCCTCCGCCACATGAAATACATTGGTGAGTTACAGTCTAATCTAAGTGTTGTCATTCAATGAAACAAAAGCTACTCCACTGAACAAACTTCGACTACCTCGGAGGCAAGCCCGGCGTCTTTGATAAGTATGTCTCGCTTGGCCTCAAACATTTCTCTCATTTTCGCTCACTTCACTTGCCGAGCCTCAGCTCGAAAGGAAAGCGCCATTCACGGTGCCGCTTTCTCCTCGCTTGCTTCGGGCCCGTGCCGTCGATGGCTGCTAGGCCATCAGTGATACCTACAGCCTCCCGTGCATCGGGGTTCTCATTGGTGTAGATGTCGAAGAGGTAGCGTTCGCCTGAAAATGACAACATAGATGTAGATATGATATGACTCTTTCAAATCATGAGGACTCATCATGACTCATCATGTCACAATCTGGTTTTGTTTGAAGTTGTGGTCCCAATAGCGTGGATTATATACTATGGTTCAATCTCAAAAGGAGAGGAGATGTTGGTCTACCTGGATGTTGCGAGGACCCCAAACATAGACAATTCTTGCCGCTGCAAACAAAAAAATTGTTTTATACATAGATCTACCTGCTCAAGCAATGTCAAACAAAGAAAAACATCCAAAAAAAATAGAAATTATATATTATATATATAGAGAGAGAGATAGACCCCTTATGGCCAAACAAACTGTAGGCCTTTCTGCAAAACACCTGTCTGCATGGTCCCACCTGACTGCACTGTTCATCTTGCGAGTATGGGGAGCTCATACATGTAACATTCGCCAATTCAATGAAATTTAGAAAACGTTCAGGTAATATAATCAAGGAAAAAATTGTAGTTACTTCTTCTTGGGCAACCGACCAATGAATTTAGGCGTGGCAGTCATGGCGCCATGAGTGTGGGAAGCTTGCTCCAGCGTCGAAATGTAGGTCTCATAGATACACCAAATGCGCCTGCAGTGAATACCCTGCTTCACTGAAGGTTTGCGGGGTACACCCTGACAAATCAACCAATAATCACTATCTAGCCATGAGAAGAATTCAAACCTGAAACAATCCTGCGACCGAACTCTACCTCTCACAGAGACAGGGAACGCCCGTCGCTTCGTCTTGTTTGATTTTCGACTAGCAACAAGGCCTTACTAGTAGCAACAAGAAGCTACTAGGGGCTCCTGGCATCGCTACTAGTAACAAGGGCCTTACTACTAGGAGCAAGAAGCAACTAGTAACAAGAATATTATAGTAACAAGAAGCTTCTAAACTTGCGGTACTGAGAAACATTCAGTCTGGTGCCAGTGTCTTCCGGACAGATTGCAACGCAATGTTTCCTCTAGCCTATCTGATTATCTTGGGAAGGCTTATATATATATACAATTATATACATACACTTGCAACTCTCCCAACAAAATTGGCAGGTTTGGCGGGTCCTTGGTTTGGTACTGATGTGACACATTGGCAAACATATTGACATACACATTATCATTAGCACAATGGCAAATGCATTAACACATGCTCTGTGAAATGCCAATTTTTTTAAAAAGCAAAACACATAATAATCATATATACACGCATTGAAGTGACACATTGGCAGAGGTAAGGATGTGACATAAACATATGCATTCATTGGACACGTAACTGCAGTCGCAATGACATAATATGCATTGTGACTGAACGCGCCATAAGAGAAGGCTCAGCGCAAAGAATGTGACGACAGATGACGATGGGTCCAACCAGCTTCCTTTTGCCAAGCCACTATGGGTCTTTCCCTTGCTGGAACCTTTCCTTCAGTACCTGTACTCAAGCACAGTCCATGATCTGCGGGCCACCCCCGACTTCCTGCCAGTCGCAGGGTCCTTGTGCCCAAGGCCACCTTGACATAAGTGGGGAATTTCCAAGTCAACTTTCCTTTCACCTTCTTACAGTGTTGAACGTTGTCGCTACTGAACGCCCTTCTTGCTATTCCAGGGGCCAGGACCAAAAAATGTAACAAAGGCTGGAAAAACACACGACAGGGCAAGTAAAGAACCTTGCGCACAGTACCAGATCAAGCTACCTTTGTCTGTGGCGGCGGGGGATCGGCCTTGAACTTGAAGCATCTCACCCACAGCGGTGGCTTTGCCGCATAGCTCAGTTCCAACGTGGACACCGAAGAGCAGTCGAATAGATTTGACGCTTTTGGATTGGACGGTGGCCGGCATGCATTGGCCGCATGTCTCAAAGTGGGATTGGCTCGTTGCAATCCATGACGCTAGAAGCTGGCTGGGATTCACAGCTTGGAGCCAGCATCAGCAATGCCATCATCCGTCAAGGAGCGCGGCGTTGCAAGACCAAAGGCAAACGAAATTGATTGGAAACACATGTCGGCAAAGACTTGACTGCGCACGACGAGTTCGAACCGGATGGGAGACAGAACATGTAGCCAATTCACGCAAGGTCTTTGCAAATGTTTGCACTCGGGAAGTTGGTTTTGTATGTGCCAGAAGATTCGCAGGCAAGACTGACATGCTGAGAGACGCAAACCACTTCTGGCTGATGTACTGACATCGAAGTCAAGCAACCTGGGGGTGGAGTGGCAAGAGTTTGCAAACGCCTTTGGTGCACCAAGGGCTATCTAAGAAAAAGACGTTTGGATTCAAGGCTCCTGATCCAAGATCCAAGATCCAGAAAGGACGTTTTGGATCCAATGGCTTCAGGACCAAAGATCTAAGATTCCTACAGTCAGCAGGATCCAAGAGCTTTCTTTCTTGGAATCTTGGATCCTGTAACTTGGGCCGTTTGCAAACGTTTGGAAACACCCTTGCAGTCCCAAGACCTGGATCCCAATCTGGTTGATTTGCCACCCCCTGCCCGTAAGTACCAAACACCTCAAAACACTGCTTTAAATGCAGACCAAAAAGAGCAAACGCAACGCAAAGATCAGCAAAGGTCACCAACAGGTAGTACAGTATCTCTGAGGGTGCTATAATAAATATATAATACATACATATAACTATATATTGTATTATATCCACATAATACATCTATAAATACATATTCTGTACCACCTTGCACTGCAAAAAACCTTTCCACGTTGCTAATGTGAAGGCAAGCAGGAAAATGAAGCTTGGTTTTAAGATGTTTTAAGTCGAGGGAGTTCGGAGCACTATGCAATTCTTACAATAATCCCTGCTGGATAATGCCAACTTGGTAAAGCTTTTTCTTGTTCCCATGGCAAACCGCATGCTGAAAGGCTATCAAATCTGAGATGCGTGTAGCATACAGCGCTCTTATCCACAATTGAGACTGTACCGGAGGCTTTTCTCATGGCCCGTCTGAAGCTGCTGTCGGAAGGATCTTCTCCTCTCACGGACTGCAATAGGGTTCTACTACAACGCAGGATCGAGAACAGGTCCAGTCCAATAGTGCTGTGTTTGCAATCGCAAGTCAGTTCAGGCCCCCCCATCGGCTCCGATCTCGCCGCGGACGTTCCACTGGTTGTTGGCATAAGCACAAACCCAGTAGTAGAGTGTTGCCTTTCTGAGGTTCCGATCTTTGGAATGCTGTCGCAAGCAAGCAGTAAAATCGCACACTGGCTCGCCCCACCTGGAAGCAAAGCATGGTTGGGCCATTGCCATTGCATGTCAAAGGTGGTTTACTTAATTCACTCTTGATCTGAGACTGTTCGCAGAACCCTTTCTGTCAAAAACCGTTGAAGCTGCGTGGCCAGTGGGAGACAAACCATTTGCATGGCTGAGGCCCCTCAGCCATCAATTCCACAAAGCTGCACTCTCTTGCAGCGGTGGCCTTGCAGCTGCGGGGTCATACGGTAGCCTGGTCTAAACCATTATAAACCCATTGAAGAACACTGAAATAGATCTGCATGGTCTCCCCTGTGGATGACCAAGACCGCTGGCTCATTCACTACCTGTAGACTGGCTTTCTGTGCCGGTTTGTTTGCATGTCCGACCTGACCATTAACTAGGTCATTGATGATTGACATGCTGATCTGAACAACACCTTTTCCAAAGCACTGCAAACGAGTTGCAGGCTTCACCAGCAAATCCACCAAGTGGTAGAGGTTCACTTCTTCAGGTGTCAAAGCACGGCCTCAGCAAGTGCACTCACATTGTGCGGGGTTCTTGTAGCACCTGGAAACCACTAAAGCTCCATGTTCAATCCAAGCAGGGATCTGTTGGGAGCAGTGTCAACTTGTCAACAAAAGGTTCAGGTGACTGCGCTGAATAAGGCCTCAAAGCTACATGAATCAATGCCATGTTCTCCGGAGCATCCAGCCGTTAGTGTAAACGTTTCGCAACCCTCCGATCTGCCTTGCTGATCAGACCAAGAATGTTGAAGGCATCCTCAGATCATCACACATCACATGGTGTTGCTTGGACAAAGAGATCAGAAAAGAAGGCAAGGATGCCTTTCATCAGGCCCATTGTAAACGGGGCTTGTTAAAGGTGCCACTACCTGCTTTTGTTCATCTCTTTGTCTTTGTCCAATAGACTATATACAGGAAGCTGATAGCGTCAGATCATTCAGTGAAGGATGTGAAGGGTCACCCTGCCCCCGCTGCAAGTTTTAGGGCGTGCTGAACACATCCGAAATCAATCGATGTCCTCATCCTACTCCTGCAAATGGTTGTGCTTTGGTTCTCTTCGATTCCAGTTCTGCTTTAAGGGAACATTCAAAGTAAACAAGTAAATACACCTACAGTATATTTTTTGTATTTTCCAAAACTCTGCCCGATGCTGAGCTGAATGTTGTTTGGAATCCGCAGCGAATGCAGGCTAACACAAAGAGCAACTGCTTGAGCTCGATCGCTCGATCCTGGACAGCGTCAAGGCTTTCAAGAATCTATGTACAGTATTTTTAAAGTAATCTAATCAACCAAGACAAAGGATGCAAAGTTTATACGCAGATTCCTTCTCAACTTCTCGCAGTGAGTCGAGGCTTCTACGACCCCCCATGCACTTTCTGTCTACTCATGTCCACTCCATACTCCCAGTCTAGCAAGGACACTATTAGGTGGAGGCCATCGCAAGTAGTAGGTTAGAGGCCATTGCTATTAGTAACAAGAAGCTACTACAGCAGTAGCAAGAAGAAGTCCTACGCAAAATGTCCTAAGATCCTGAGGTGGACTTCCGCAACCGGATGCCCTCACAAAATGCTTAATCGGTTTAGGTTGTGGGCTTAAGGAATGGATACAGTAACTACCTTCCAACTTCCGCAAAACGATATGGCAATATGCTACTGATATGAATCAAACCGTATCAAAACCCTGTCTGACCATGTTTGCTATCACAATATCCCTCTCTGTCTTTCTCGTTAAGGTGTTGCTATCTTTGTCTCTTCAATAGCAACAAGTCTCTGCACTGTCCTCGACCTCAGGAATTTGACATCCACTTCCCGCCAGCTGGGTCAAGAGTTCTTCAGGCATCGCTTGGACATTTATGGCCAACTGGAAAGCGGTAGAACGAGATGAACACTGCGGAATCTCTTGCAGTTGAATGATACCAAAAAAGATACAAACAAACACTTGGCTTGAAGCCTTCCGGAATCTCCCTAGTCCTGGTAACGACCCGCAATCATGTGGAACCCAGTGCCTACATGGAACCTACACCTGAACTGAGCCTATAATATGCCTAGAGTGCCTAGAACTTAGTGCAGTCCGCCCGAACTCCTTTGAAACCATACACTTGGAACCTCCTTTAGCCGCACGGACCGGACCCCTACCTGCCCTACCTTACACATGGAGCATCATGGGACCTGTCCTCAACCTCCAGAATTGAGAAATTCTCGAGTGCACTTTAAAACCTCTGCTTCTGCGGCCGGGAACCAATGAGAAAAAGATTTCAATTGCAATTGGCAAAAGAAACTGAAAAGAACAAAGTGCCTCAGCAGGGAATTGGAATTCAAAGATCTCGTCCTTCTCAAGCCACTGAGAAGTCGGAGAGATCTGATCCTGGTTGCTGGAATTGTCAGCCTGCCAAGCAAGGTCGAGCCAATCGAACCTGAAACTTAACCTGGATGTGGGGATGAATGACTGTTTAACAAGCAACCCAGCTGACAACGCCCAAACACCAACAAACCACACAAACACCATACTAGAAAACCAAGAAGACCAACAAGACCGCCCACCATTCATGACCCAAACAAACACCAATTTCATGACACCGTCTCGACACATTTAGCACAAGTAACTCTAAAGCATTGCCACGTGTGAGGTAATTATCCGAAGATAATAAATATAGTATATACACAGATCTTTATAAAAAGATCATTGCATCCCAAAACCTCAAAGCATTCAACACCTCTCAGCGTCTGAACATGCGCGGCATTATATAAATTGCACGGTTCATAGGTGGCTCTAGACATGACTGAAACACTGAGACACGTGCTAAACATGACCGAACATGACAAGACACCACCGAGCAACAGAGATGATCGAGACATCACCAACAGACCAAGACACCGCATATCACCACGTGCCAGCCACCGTTGACATCCGTCGACCCGATGGTTCGCGACCACCCAAAGTATGTACAACCCCAAGCTATTAGCACTGAAGAAAAAGAGTATGGCCTTCATTGGCCTTCTAACTTCCAAGGCAATGCATGAGTCGCACTCAAGGTGGAATGAGCGATGGAGTTTTCAATGAAGGTCCAGACGACCAGCATCTAGAATCTAGATTCAGATCGACCGGTACAGTACCCTTGAAGCAGCCTGGTCACCCGAAGTGTCACATATCCAATCAAAGATCTTCAAACAGTCCACCATGCCATCCTGCCATTTTGGTGCAGGGTAGAACCCAGATAATGCAAAAGGCCAGGCAGTGTTTTCGGTAGATTTCGTGCGCGGATGCTCTGTCCATCATGTTTCGTAAAACTCGTCGGGTTTGAGTGGTACGGTACATCCTGCAAATTCAAACAAATTCAAGATATTGTTGGGATTTGAAATCACTTGCAGTCGAGTCAACCGAAGCGGCTGAATTTGCTGGAAGTGTTCGAGCTTCTCTCCAGGAAGCAAAAGTGTCTCAGTAGAAGCAGGTCCAGAGTTGAAACATGTGGCCAGGGACTTGATCTTTCAATCGCTTGTAGAGATTCGTTCCTTCATGGCTTTCGACATGTCCACCAGCTGGAGAATCTCTGGCTGGGAGATGCCGATGAACCTCGCGCTGCGGTTGGCGTCGTGGGCATGGGACTGAGTGATTCGTAAAGTGTGGGTAGAAACACGGATGAAACCATACACTTGTACCTCAGCTCAACTCGTTGAGGCAACCACCCACTATCATACTTGATGAACCTCACGAGTCTTCAATCACCAGGTGTATAAAAGACTTGTCACAAAATGCTTCATTGCTACTTTGAGTGGAGCACTTTTCTCCTGTTCCAGCCACCTTTGACCAAAGTTGCGATCACCATTGGCCAACATGAAAATTGTCTTTGGAGTTCTCAAGTCATTATATCAACATTAAGTCATTATGTACAGTAACTAATTGGCATTTGGATCTGTGTGACAGGGCCAAGCAATGCCAAGCTGATGGTCATGTCGTGTCTACAGATGAATATTGACCAACAAGCTTTGAGCGTTGTCTGAACCGCAGGTGATCTGCTTGATCTCTCCTGTACTGCCATTCGACTGCCAATCTGATCAGAGTCCGCCTATCTTGCACCCCGGTCACTTGAGAATTATGCAAGTTTGCTCAGCCGTTTAATTATAAAATACCTGCCCCATCTTCTCTGGCTGAGGGACTGAAAAATCTCTAGCACGTCCTCCAGCGGCAAGTCAGGCAGCACAACGAAATTTGTGCGCAAATTGCGCAAAGGCTCCATGGGGACTCTGGAGCCCACTGCGGCAGTGTGCTATCTTGTCAGGTCTGGGACCTCCAGCTTCGACCGCTCACACTATGATTCATTGTCTTCGTGAACAGTGAAGCTGTGTTAGATAAAACTTGATGAGGGCCGTTTCTTAGAGAAGGCGGCTTCTCCAGAAAGGAGTTCTTCCTGTACTCTGAAAGGCAGATCGAACGAACCCAGGCCCAAAACGCGCGCCTAGTTGTACTTTTCCTTCAGCTTCCGCATCCTCAATCCCAACAAATTGTAGTCAAATGTCAACGGCTATGCCTCACTTCAATGCATTTTTTGTATATATCAGGTTTGATGCTTGCCGGGTGGGCCCCACCCTGCCTAAATTCATGCTTACAGACCTGGTGGCAAATGTGCAAATGTTTGTCAAAATATGTCAAGGGCTGCCCATAACACGAATTTGTGCAGCACGGTGCAGCCATTTCGCCCTGCTCTTGTCAGAATAGCCACACACAACTTGATTCTCTTGGGAGAATCGCAGTTTCAAAGACATTGAATACAACTGGCCAATCAGTCAAGTTCTTCCATGTTGGAAAAGTCTTCGCCGAAGTCCTCCTCAATGTCAGTCAGACCTCACAGGGTTCTGGGAATGGGAACCTTTCTCCGCTAGCGTCCCTCACCCCACACCTGTCGACTCCGTCTCAACGATATCAACATCCCGCACTCGCAATGTGCACTGGCCCATCTCAATAGTCTCATCTTCGATCAAATCCACAAACTCAAAGAGATGACATTCTGAAATCATTTCACACCACTCCTTGGATTCATTTACGACTTGCACAAATACACAAAAAGTGTCGCCAGGATTCCACACCTGAAGGGTACTGCATAAGTCATAATTACGGTATGTATACATACACGTAATTATATTATTATATGCACTGAAACAGGGCAGTCCTCAGAACGAAAAGGGTGGAATGCAGTTTTCCTCGCCATCTCATCTTCCCAAAAACGTTTCGCAAGCCAAGACTCAGCACACATTTGTGGATCGGCGAAGAAAGTCACCCCATCATAGAAAACAAACTCCTTCACGGACATCTGACGGACATCCATTTTGTAAAAATCCCCGTTGCTACCGACTACTGAGGTTCACCCCCTCATTTTATCCGTTATATACTAATGGCTTTTCACACACCAGGGTCTTTAATCAAAAAAGATGACAAATCTGTCGCTGCCAACCATATCATTTAAGACCCGTTTTAGATAACCCTTAACCTAAATGAGTCAACAAAAAATGGTTTTACGTGGTCGACCACACTCATTTTAGCAAGCCAGTCGCAACGGGGATTGTCAAACACATGTTGAGATTGAATTGAATGCTGGGAATTTGTTCGTCCAACTCCAACTTGTTCCATCGAACAATATGTATATTATATATATATACACTAATATGCTTAAAAAAAAAACAAAAAACAAAACTCGAGGTCTACGTCCTCTTGGTACCCATGGTTTCGGTGGCGCAAAATGGATGCGTTAGACATCGTTAGATCATGTTCAATCCATACTCGGTAGACCGAATTCTCCCCCGGATGCAAAAACCAACCAGTGCACAAGGACTCGTGTCCTCCTCATCGGAGGAATTAGATGCCAGCTTTTCAGACCTCTGAAGCAAAGATGGTTGGGACACGTCCTTGGACATGAAGACACTGGCACGCAGGCACTGATTTCCCTGGCCTCTGATATCTGTTTTGCACTGGAACCTTAGCCGTGGCACAAGTGGCCAACGGAGTGTCACTCCAACTGCAAAACTTCAGGTTGGGCTTCTTTGTGAGATGCAGATTGCCAGGAGGACAGGGAGAACACCAAAATGCCTAAAGCACAATATGGTTCAATCCAGCTTTGAGACTTCGCATCTTGCACAAAGTTGCTGCGGAGCTGGATCCATTTTGGCCACATGAGGTCCTCTTCGTTTCGCTATGAGCTAGTTGACTGTCATCGCGAGGGACATGTCTGTTGCACTAATGTCTGCAACTTTACTGATGCTGCGGCACTCACGAGTAAGCCATCAGGAAAACATACCGTGACACCAGTGTGGTGTGCTACATATTTTTACACACAACATTCTTTCTCAGTGGTTCGTCTCTAGACTCTAGACAGACTCCAAAGACCAAGCATCCCAGCCTGTGAGTCTCCTTGGTATTGAGACCATTTGTTTCCCCTGGAGACAGTCAAAGATACCACTATTCTGCAAATGGATCAACCCTTCTTCGGCTCCTCAAAGGCATGCACTTCCTCAGATTTGCTTCATCAATGCTGGCCCAGCCAGGGAAGGGTACCACCGCCAAAACACCAGCCTTTCGGCCATTCTGCAATTTTTGTCCCATGCCCATGCTATTGATTGATTTGACACCCCCAGAATGGAGACGAACTGCAAATGACAAGAAGACCGCATATATATATATATATATATATACTCAGATTACTCTGCTTTCTAGGTTTGCAGTTCGTTAAATGCCGTCCAGATCGTCGAGCTAACTCTTTGTAGACCCTAGACTCTGGATCGACTTTGGCAGGGGGCCAGGGACAAAGAGGGTTTTATAGGGTTCCCAGCTGTTCGCAAAACAGCCGCTCCGGAGCTTCTCGTGACTCTACAAGTAGCCCCGACATGCCCCGACAACTATGGCCACCCCATGAGACTCTAGCTTCCATCGTTGGTGATAGACATGCCAAAGAATCCAACAAAATCAAGAAAGGTCTGAAACCCCTATGTAGTAGCATCCTTGCTCCTAGTAGCGATGCCCTTTGCTCCTAGTAGCTTCTTGTTCCTAGTAGTAAGGCCAGGAGCCCCTGATAGCGTCCTTGCTCCTAGTGCTAGGAAGCGAATGCAAATTCTGCAATTGCAAAAATGCAACATGGGGCATAGGGATTTGATCTACATTGCATCCACGCTTCCACTCCTGGCAAGGTATCTGCAACCAGCTGAGCCAAGGATTTGTCGCCAGATGGTGGGGTTTTCCCCGTGGAACACGAATCCAAAAACACAGTAGAGCGGGCTTCCCCATCGTGGATCAATGCCGGCTTCAGCTCCTTCAGGAAGTCCTGAAGGTTAGAGCCGTATTCGGAAACTAATCGGTCGGATTCTGAAACTAGGGTTCTGAAACTGGGGTTCTGAAACTAATGTTCTGAAACTTGGATTCTGAAACCAGGATTCTGAAACTGGGGTTCTGAAACTAGGATTCTGAAACTGGGGTTCTGAAACTAGGATTCTGAAACTGGGATTCTGAAACTTGTATTCTGAAACTGGAAAGTCAGATTCTGCAACTGGTATTCTGAAACTGGAAAGTCAGATTCCGCAACTTGCCTTCTGAAACTTGCAACTGGTGATCTCCACATCATGCGATAGCGTGTGTGCCTGTGACATCACCTTCGAAGCACATCCGAATCCAAACCAGCGTCATTAGTCCCCCACCCACCCCCCCCACCCCCCAACCCCCCCTTGTCCCCATCGTGTGATCTCGACATCAGTCCAACCCCCTCATCATTCACAAAGTTGCGGAATCCTAGTGAGGAGTCCGCAATGTTGCGGAATCCTAGTTGCGGAACGCCAGTTGCGGAATCCCAGTTGCAGAATCCTAGTTGCGGAATCCTAGTTGCGGAATCTTGACAGTTGCGGAATCCTAGTTTCAGAATCCTAGTTGCGGAATCCTAGTTGCGGAATCCTAGTTGCGGAATCCTTGTTTTCGGAATCCTAGTTGCGGAATCCCAGTTGCGGAATCCGACCAAACAGTTGCGGAATCCTAGTTGCGGAATCCTGCGCAGTTGCGGAACTCGACTTTATCCAAGTCCTGAAGTCAATTCTGACTGTCCAAATTCCATCCATCCGCTTTGCTTCATGAATGGCCAGGGAGCGCAATAAGCATAGGTCATAGAGTCATAGGGCATAGGCGTGTGTACAACATTCTAGTTTACATATTGCCTCATGTGCGCACGTTCTTCCAGAGACCAAAGAACCTCCAGATATGGCATCGGACAAGAAAGCTCCACACCTTGCACTCCCACGGAAACCTCGCCACTTCTTCTCACTCCCTATCACTTCGGAGCGGTTGTCTTTTCGGAGAGCTCTTTGTCCTTTGATGCTCAGAACTCCGGACCAGCATGTGTATCTGTTGTCTGTACATATGCTGGCCATGCCTCTCGACTCCGTAATGTGCCGTTTGCTGCGATGACTAATAGGCACGCCACTATCAACTATCAGCAACACACGTCAACAAATTTGCTCATGTCTTTGGGTGGATGGATTACCAGGATCTACCAGGAAGCCTTTTCGATATATTACCATATTACATATTGGGTTCTTGTGTGGCACTGTCGTTTTGGCTGCAGAGCTGCAAGAAGCCAGCGCGAAAACCTGAAATTTACTGTCATGCAAAGGCAGAGGCACGAAAGTACTTGCCCACAGTCACATTAATCATTAATTCTCAAGTCTACAGTTGTACGCTGTACTGCAAGGCATTTGGGCTTTGTGAGCCCTTCGCGAGTTCACAAGGTCTACATACAGCTTGCTTGAGCTACCACACTTTCGAATCAATCACTTGTGGTTTTGCAACTTTCTGCAAGTTTTTTCTTGTGCTGTTTTTTTCCTGCTCGGCTGTGCCGTGGTGTTGTTGGAGTTTGGAGGCCTGAGGCATTTTTGCAGTACGGACATCTGCCCACAAAGCTAAAAGTACTTGCGATCGGGTAACACACCGGCATACAGGGTTTGGTACTTGGAACAAATCACAGTGGCTGCAGCCGGAGAGTTGAAGCTTGAGGATGTTGCACACCTTCACCTGAACAGCCTAGATTTGTGATGCCTTTCCTTGGGTTCTAAATCTATCTCTTTGCTTTCCCTATCCTCATTTGCAACTCCACCACGTTGGCAAGTTGGCGTGCTTTCCAAAACACAAGCCAAGGATTCTTTTTGCCACATGTTTTGCCGTGGCAGGGAGCTTAGTGCCCGACCGCTAAATCAGAACCAACGAAAACCATGGACTTTTGGACGTCCTG